GGACCAGGCAGCATTTCACCCTGTTGTGCATGGGGTTGCCATGAGTTGGGGCTGTTGGGCATGTTTTTTGGTGGAGACGCTCACATCAATGATAGCTAACAACACACATATGTGACTCTGTGTTGCAAACATCTGTACTTTATCCTTGGGATCCCAGTGATCTCTTCACTGAATGGAATGCAAACTCCCTTGGGATGATTTTACAAACCAGTTCAAACCACCTGTTCATAGTTGTTAGGATCGCTAGCAGGTTCAACATTTTTCCAAATATGCCCAACAAAGTTTTAATCCTATTACGTTTGTCATGTTGTGATAAGAATAGCAATAAAAGTTATTTTTCCATAGTTTTCTATTTACTCAAATGTAGCACGATTTCTCTTGAAATTCTTTTGAAATATTTACCTTTTAAAGGATAAATATAAACCATTAACAACCAAAATAAGATTTTAAAACTTTATTGAGAACTATTTTGTTTATGAACTAATCTATTTACATATTCTTCCAAACTGTCTCCTTACAACTTATAACCAAGCACTTTTCTCAATATTAAAACTTACAAAAGGAGTTTAACTATCTACAAACATAAGGTTCTGAAACAAAAATATTTCTCATATACTTAATATTAATCTTCCTCAAAACATTAAATGGAAAAATCTGTAATTTTAAAAAATAAAAGCCACAAGAATTTGAATAATTACTATGTATATTACAACTTCCTTATATCAAATTACTGAGAAAAGTCATCATGCCACTTTATTAGGATCTTCTCTGTGGATAGAAGGCATAAAAATAAGGCTGTATATGACATTCATCAAATGAATATGCTCAGGTTTTATATAGCTTTTTTTGTTGTTGTTGTAAAGCTGCTAGATTGAAATATTCTTTATAACATCATATTTTGAAATCATAGAGATAAGATAGTCATTTTATGATCCTTTCTACTCATAGTATGGTACTAATTTATTTTGTTAGAAGTTATTGATAGGTTCTAATGTACTAGATTGGAATATCACATTAAGGAAATTATCCTTGCATATTCTTATTATATAGGTGTCTAATAATTACATATTAGAAATTAAAATACATTATTTACTATTGACCCATTAGTTAGCACAGTTTGTGATTAAGTTTCTATTGGCTTTCTAAATTTTCGCTAGCCTAAGCTAACTTAATAATCATTATTACCTTTTTAAAACTAAGCAAATATTTAGTTCCTATTCATAATAGGAGATCACATTACAGAATTGTACAAGACCAATGATTTACTCATTGCAAATATCTTTTTTCAACAACACAAACTACAGCTATACACATGGACTTTACCAGATAGAGTACACAAATCAGATCAACTACATCTGTGGAAAGAGGTGACAGGGAAGCTCAATGTTATTGTTGTTGTTGTGTGCCATTGAGTTGGACTCAACTCATAGCAACCCCTCCTTGGGTTTCTGAGGCAGTATCACTATGGAAGTAGATTGCCCAACCTTCCTTCTGAGGAGTGGCTGGTGGGTTTGAACGCCAGTCTTCTGGTTAGCAGTCAAGTGCCTTTAGGCACTACGTTACCAGAGCTCCCATCTTCAGCCAAAACAAGGCCAGGAGCTGACTGTGGAACAGACCATCAAATGCTCAAATGCAAGTTAAAGTTGAAGTGGAAAACAATTAAAACAAGTCATGAGAGCCAAAATATCACCTTGATTATATCCCTCCTGGATTTAGAGACCATCTAAAAATAGATTTGATGCATTGAATACCAATGACTGAAAACCAGACAAACTGTGGGATGACATCAAGAACATCATCCATGAAGGAAGCAAAAGGTCATTAAAAAGATAGGAAAGGAAGAAAAGATCAGAATGGATGCCAGAAGAGACATCTGCCAGTCAAGACATCAGGTGACTGATAATTTATTTCATCATATGACAACTCAGGCCTTGAGTTGCAATATTCAAAAGTTCTCTGGGTAAAATATTGAATGATGGGGGAAACAGCAAAAGAAGATGGAAGGAATACACAATGTAACTGTACCAAAAAGAATTGATCGATGTTCATCCATTTCAGGAGGTGGTATATGATCAAGAACCAATGGTACTGAAGGAAGAAGTTGAAGCTGCATTGAAGGAATCGGTGAAAAACAAGACTTCAGGAATTGATGGATTATCCATTGAGATGTTTCAACAAATGGATGCTGCGCTAGAGGCACTCACTCAGCTATGCCAAGAGATTTGGAAGACAGCTGCCTGCCCAACTGACTGGAAGAGATCCCTATTTGTACCCATTTCAAAGAAAAGTGATGCCACAGAATGTGGAAATTATCAAATAATATCATTAATATCACACGCAAGTAAAATCTTGCTGAAGATAATTCAAAAACAGTTGCAGCAGTATATTGACAGAGAACTTGTAGAAATGCAAGCTGGATTCAGAAGATGATGTGGAACAATGGATATACCATTGCTGATGTCAGATGGATCTTGGCTGAACGCAAAAAATACCAGCATGATGTTCACTTGTATTTTATTGACTATGCAAAAGCATTTGATTGTGTGGATCATAACAAATTATGGATAACATTGAGAAGAATGGGAATTCCAGAACAAAACCTGTATATAGACTAGGAGGCTGTCGTTCAAACAGAACAAGGGTATATTGCATGGTTTACAATCAAGAAGGGAGTGCATCAGAGTTGTGTCCTTTCACCATACTTATTCAGTCTGTATGCTGAGCAAATAAATAATCCTAGCAGCCAGAGTACATGAAGAATGTGGCATCAGGATTGGAGGAAGACTCAACAACCTGCGATATGCAGACGACACAACTTTGCTTGCTGAAAGTGAGGATGACTTGAAGCACTTACTGATGAAGACAAAAGACTTCAGTCTGCAGTATGGATTACATCTCAATATAAAGAAAATGAAAATCCTCACAGCATCACAATAAATGGAGGAAAGATTGAAGTTGTCAAAGATTTCATATTACTTGGTTCCACAATCAACACCAATGGAAGCAGCAGTCAAGACATCAGGTGATATATTGCATTGGGCAAATCTACTGCAAAAGACCTCTGTCAAGTGCTAAAAAGCAAAGATGTCTCCTAAGGTGTGCCAAACCCAAGCCATGGTATTTTCCATTGCCTCATGTGCATGTAAGAGCTGGACAATGAACAAGGAAGACCAAAGAAGAGGTGATGCTTTTGAGTGGTAGTGCTGACAAAGAATACTGAAAGTACCATAGACTGCTGAAAAAACCTAATATTATCTGTCCTAGAAGAAGTGCAGCTGGAATGCTCCTTGGAAGTGAGAATGGCCAGACTTCATCTCACCTATTTTGGTCATGTTGTCAGAAGGGATCATTCCCAGGAGAAGGATATCATGCTTGGTAAGGTGGATGGTCAACGAAAAAGGGGAAGACCCTCAACGAAATGGACTGACACAGTGGCTGCAATGATGGGCTCAGGTATAGCAAGGATTGTGAGGCTGGCACATGACTGGGCAGTGTTTCATTCTGTTGTACATAGGGTCACTATGAGTTGGAACCTATTCGACGGCACCTAATAACAACAAATTCATAATAAATCTGACTAAGACGTAGTCATTTGAACAGAACAAAAGGATACTGCATAGTTTAAAATCAGAAAAAGTGTGTATCAGGGTTCACCATACTTGTTAAATCTGTATGCTGAGCAAATAATCTGACAAACTGGCTATAAGAAGAAGAACATAGCATCAGGATTGGAGGAAGACTCATTAACAACTTGTGCTATGCAGATGACACACCTCACTTGCTGAAAGTCAAGATGAAAGACTAGTCTTCAGTACAGATTACACCTCAACATAAAGAAATCAAAAATTTTCACAACCAGACCAATAAGCAGCATCGTGATAAATGAAGAAAAGATTGAAGTTGTCCAGGATTTCATTTTACATGGACCCACAATAAACACCCACAGAAGCAGCAGTCAGGAAATCAAATGACACTGCACTGGGCACATCTGCTGAAAAAGACTTTTTAAAGTGTTGGAAAGCAAAGATGTCACTTTGAAGACAAAGGTGCACTTGACCTAGCCATGATATTTTCAATTGCCTCATATGCACGTGAAAGCTGGACAATGAGTAAGGAAACCAAAGAAGAACTGATTCATTTGAATTATGGTGTTGGTGAAGAATAGCAAATATCTTATGGATTGCTAGAAGAATGACCAAATATGTCTTGGAGAAATACAGCCAGAATACTCCTTTGATGTGAGGATGGGAGACTTCATCTCATGTACTTGGACATCTTATCAGGAGAGACCAGTTCCTGGAGAAGGACACGATGCTTGGAAAAGTAGAGGGTATGTGGAAAAGAAGACAACCTTCAACGAGATGGATTGACACAGTGGCTGTGACAATGGGCTCCAGCGTAGCAATGAGTATGTGGGTGGTGCAGGACAAGGCAGGGTTTTGTTCTACCGCACAGAGGTCTCTGAGTTGGAAGTGACTCAACCTAACAACAACAGTCAACACTTTTTAAGTATTAGTTTTCTGTCTTTGTAGCTTAGATGTATTGATCATAGAACATTTTATAGCTGTTAGAGCTTTCTTTTATGCTTTTGGCATTGTGGAAAATTACAACTTTATTTATTACTTGAAATATTAAAAATATTTATTGACTTGAACACAATGTTTCTTAAAAAAATAGTTGGCATAGCCGAAAAAAAAAAAAATCTCCAAAGGAGTTTTCCTCCTTTGCTGACTTTTACTTAAATGAAAATCTTAGACCAGATGATACCATCAAATATTTGAAAATCTGAGCAAAACAGCCTTCATTTTGTTTGCGAGTATTCCCTTAGCAGAAACTGTATATTATTTGTCACCACAGTGCCTAGTACAATATACACAGTACATTTTGATCTCCCTAAGGATTATGGACTAACCAATCACAAGTTTGAAACAACAAATTTCATAATTTCTGTATTTCTCTAACACAGATATTTCTAAGCAAATGTGCTTTCTGGTCATCTCTTAAAAATTAACTAATTGCTTAATTTGTTCAGTTTGTAATGACTGTCTCCTTAACAGCATTTTTTTACTTTTGAATTCTTTAGGGAAAACAGGAACTGTTGGCATAAGCACTTTCTGACCACAAGAAAGAAGACTGGAAATCTTGTTGCTGACATTGATGTCTAAGATGGGTGGGTGAGGATTTACATTTAAAGGCGGCAGAAATCCTGGTCTGGTTTGTGTAATATTATGATCCAGAGGGAAAGCCCCTGAGCCCCGTCTTTCTAAAATGGCATGACTTCTCCTGCTCAGGGGGGCTGGGGGAGTACTCTCCAATAATTCTTTGGCCCCTGACAACAAAGTAGGAGATGGTGAGAGGAGTTTTTTCTTTCCTAGAAGTGCTTTGCTATCTTCTAAAGTTGCAGGGGTAAGACCAGCTGAGAGCTGGGAATCAGAGCTATAGTGATTTGCCCCTGAGTTTCTTTTTTGAACTATACTTCTTAAAGTGGAAGCAAATATTGTGTGGTTAGTTTCTGGGTCCTGATTTCCTTCTGGAAATAATGACTGATAATTTATTTCATCATATGACATCTTTCTTGAGCTAGCCTGATCAAAGGCTCTTAATAAATGTGCAGTGTCTTTTACATCAATGCTTTGGTGCCTTGTGATGAATCGCTTGGAAAGTGCCAGCCCACTGGTTTTGTAGGATAATTCTTCCTCTGGAGTAATATCCTGGAGCTCCTCTTGCAAGGAGGCCACTCTGTTCTGGTGCATCAATAAAGGGGCAGTCTTGATCCAAGGTGGAGCTTGAAGCAGCTTGGGCCCATTAGGGGCTATAGTAGGCTTCCGCACAGGGGAGCCTGGTTCCCAAGGATCATCATTGCTTCCTGAGGGCTCCAGATCTTTAAAGACAAAAGGAGACATTTCCATTTCAGGAGAATGTGGAAGAGGTGATGAGGCTGTGATTATATCTATTTCTGAAGGAGTAGCACAGGGGGCCAGGGAATGACTCCCATCTATATCCCCAGGAGGCATGTTTAAGTACTGTTTGGTGGTGTGCTTCCCAGAGGCTGATTTTGCCGTTGTTATGATAATGACGTCTTTCCCTTTTGCTTTGCACTCCCGCAGTAGAACTTTCAGGGTCTCTCTGTCTTCTGAATTTATAGCATAAACAAGTGCAGAGTAACTAGAGTGGTCTTGCAAGGTGAGGTCAGCCCCACTCTTTAGAAGCAAGGAAACAATTTCAGGACCAGCTTTTTCTAAGCAAGCGTGCATCAAAGCAGTTTTCCCAGATTTGTCCTGTATATTGGGATCAGCATTGTTTTCTAACAGGTATTTCACCATTTTGGCTTTACTGACACTTTGGTGATCAGCATGTTGGGTCTTACAAGCGATCATTAAAGGCGTTTCCCCACGGTCATTGCTCTCGTTAATGTAGGCACCACCTTCTAGCAAGAGTCTTGTGAGGCGAAGCCGACTCTGATGCACTGCTTTGATCAGGGAATTTCCATCACTGGAAATCTCTATACCTTCATCCATCTTCAAAAGTCAGAAATCAATACCTGGGTACTAAAGAAGATGAAGACCAAAAGATTAGCCAGAATCAGCATTCCCATTTACACTCATTTTGCTATTCACAAGTAATGTCTAAAATATTTATCAAAAAAAGAACTATTTTAAAGGACAAATAATATTATGATATTAACAGTGACTTGCAAAATAGAAGAAAATTTAGAACAGTAACATACTTTAGGGAACTATGAACTAAAATTTATTTTCAGACTCTTCCTTGAATATTTATGGTATAATACTAACATAAACCTCTAAATTCTGCATCAATTAAGCAATAATCCATTTATTTTCTACTCATGAAAAACATCTTGAAAACTAATAATATTTAAAATATAAAGTTAAGCAAAAAGCCAGAACTGTAGCTGCACTGAATCAATTAAAATATAACATGTTTTTGGTAACTTAATGTAAAGAAAAAAACAAACCACCACTTTTCTGTCAGTTTGTTTTACTGTGGTAGCTTGTATGTTGCTGTGATTCTGGAAGCTATGTCACTGGCCTTTCAAAAACCAGCAGGGTCACCAATGGTGGCTAGGTTTCAGCAGAGCTTTCAGACTCAAACAGACTGAGAAGGAGGACCTGGTGATCAACTAAGACAAATTGGCCTCTGAAAACCTTATGAATAGCAATGGAACATCATCTGATACAGTGTCAGATGATGAGCCTTTCAGGTTGGAAGGCACTAAAAATACCATTAGGGACAAGTTACCTTTTCAAAGTAGAGTTGACCTTAATGACACGGATGAAGCATAGTTTTTAGAACCTTCAATTGCTGATGTGGCACAACTCAAAATGAGAAGAAACAGCTACAAACACCCATTAGTGATTGGAACGTGGAGTATGAAGTATGAATCTTACACAATTGGAAGTCGTTATAAATGAAATGGAACTCATGAAGATCAATGTCTGAGGCATGAGTAAGCTTCAGCTAGTACTGGACTAGTATTGGCCACATTGAATGGACAATCATATGGTCTACTATGCAGCAATGACAAATTGAAGAGGAATGGGGTTGCATTCATCATCAAAAAGAATATTTTGCCATCTATCCAGTAGTACAATGCTGCCAGTGATAAGATAATATACATATGCCTACATGGAGGCCAGTTAATACAACTATTATTCAAATCTATCCACCAACAATTAATGCCAAAGTTGAAGAAACTGAAGATTTTTACCAACTTCTGCAGTCTGATATCAATCAAACATGCAATCAAGATACATTGATAACTACCAATGGTTGAAATGCAAAACGTGGAAACAAAGAAGAAAGATCTAGTTGGAAAATATGGTCTTGGTGATAGAAACAATGGTAAAGATCTCATGATAAAATTTTGCAAAACTAGTGATTTATTCATTAAAAATGTTTTTTCAATAACACAAATGGTGACTATACACATGGACCTTGCCAGATGGAATATATAAGAATCAAATCAAGCACATTTTCAGATACCTCTTTCTACACTCATATTTGTATGTGCTGTAAGAATATCTGGTGTATAGTACAGCTGACAAGGGGCAAGGCAGTGGTAGCTTATTGGCCACAGCCAGTTACCCTGAGGGAGCAAACAGTTGGACCCATGGGGTCAGGACTATGGTCACAGGGGACATCAAGCTCAACTGCCATAACATAGATTACACAAAAACATTGTTCTACATCCTACTTTGGTGAGCAGGGACTAGGGACCTTAAAAGCTTGCAAGTAGCCATCTGTATGCAATGATGGGTCTCTCTTTGTTCAGAGCAAAGAAGAATGAAGAAAACCAAAGACACATGGAAATAATTAGTCCAAAGGACTGGAAGATCATGCGATCCTCAGCCTATGTGCCCATGAGACCAGAAGAACCAGATGGTGCCTGGTTACCATGGTCAAGTACTCAGAGGGGTGTTGGTATAGGAGATCCTGGACAGAGTAGGAGAGCAATGTGGAATAAAACTCACAATCTTAAAAAATAAAAGACCAGAGAGGCGGGGCAAGATGGCGGACTAGGCAGAAGGATTGCACAGACCCTCTTCAACAAAGAAAAGGGAAACCAATTAACACAGAC